AGCTCCCTAAGCATGTCCTCAAGCTAGGAGGTACCTTGAAGTAGGAGGCTTCTTTCTCCACCCATCCTTTGGCAGAAGTTATTCACAACCATTCATCTTTCATTTCCTGCCCCATGGGGCAGGTCAGAGTGACTGGCCCGGGACTTCAGGTCCAGGAGTCTTGGTAGGAGACAGGATGGAATTCTGAGCCTGGGGACTTAGCCTTGCAAAACTGGCCTCTAGCCTCCAGCTAGGCCCAGGATGGCAGATGAATAAGCCGCAGCACCTCTGGGTGAGGGAGGGGAGGGCAGGGAGCCTCTAGTCCCCAGTGGTTTTCCAGGGCCTGGCTGGGGCAGGCAGGTGTTGGGAGGTGGATGCCAGCTGGACCAGTGCAAAAGGGGAAAGCACTGTCCTAAAGAACTGTCCTTGACTGTTGGAACACAGGAGGGGGACAGCCTGCCACAGCCCCACCTAGATGTTGATTCCACTTATGGAAAAATTTGCCCTCTTTTGGCATAAAATCTCAGGAACCCCTGGCTTCTCCTTTTTGCTGCCTGCCCCCTAGAGAGTAAGAAGCCCTCTCCCCTGAGACTTCCCCTCAGAGCCACTGTCAGAAGCTCTCCACCCAGTTGCCCCTGACCTTGACCCCTACAGTCCAGTGAAGAGTCAGTGCCAGCCCATTGCACTCCAGAACCAGGGACCAGCTGATGGGCCGTCCTTACCACCCCCCTCCCTGCTCCCCACTGCCATGGAAACGGCAGGCATTCCTGCTCCTGCAGAATATTGCTTTCTTCTAACCTCCCTCCCTCCCTCTCTTTTCCCCTCTTCTTTCTCTTACACAAAAAGAAAGCGCAAGTGTTTTATATTCATTTTGCAAAAACGCTGTGTAGTGCATACTAATTGGTGCAGCTTCCTCCTGCTTTCTTTGAGCCATTCCCTATCCTCAGAGCCAGGACTCCAGGCCAGCCACGGGCAGGGGCCCAGCTAGCCTGCTCACTGGAAGACTGGATCTGTTTTTCCAGAGGCCGAAGCAGGACAAGCCACAGAGTGTCTGTAGTTCCTGGGGTCTTTCTCCTTCCTGGAAGGGGTGCCCAGTAAAAGCAAGGCCACCAGGATCACCTAGTGGTGATCACTCATCCCAGAGTATTCTACCTACACTTCAAGCTTTGCAAGGTCTCCAGGTGGGTGGGGCACCAAAGTCCTGTCCTGGGCAGAGACTCAAATCCAGATCCAGCTGGAAGGGTGGCTCCCCATAGTCTCTGTTGCTTTTCCCAGAACCCCTACTGTTGAGGCCTTCCTCTCACCTGGGCCTCTTCTCCTGCCCTGGGGTAGGTCTGCATTTGTTTGCATCAAAGCCTCAAAGTGTGAGTCAGGTTTGTGTATCAGCTGGGAATGGGCCAGCAGCTGGACTTGATTGGTGCCAGAGCTGGATGTCAAAACTACCACGTAGCCTCTGTGTGGCTCCCCACTGCCCACCTTAAGCTATTCCTTGCTCTCTATTTAGGCAGCCTCTTCCTTCCTGTCAGCTCTAGCAGAATGAAGGTGAGGTGACACTGCTCTGATCCTGCTTTATTTAAGGGACAGGAAGGGCGCTGTGTGTGTGCATGTGTATGTGTTGCCCCAGGCAGAGGTATGGGCTTTTTGCCAGGCCCCAGGGACCAGAGAAAACCATTTGATATGTAAGCACAAGAGGAGTGGCTGGAATTACTGAAGGAACCTGTAGACAACATTTCCGGCTTTAATTGTGCAATTGAAGTGTAATTTGCATTCATTTGCCATTTGGTGTTAAACTTTCTAAGATAAAAGAATTCAAAATGTAAAGGATGCAGCTTTGCTAGCTGGGCTCTCCTGTGGGGAGGGAGGATGGGCCTGGAGGCTGTGGTACAGAGGTGGTGCTTTCTCTTCCGAAGCCTCCATGTTTACACTGCACTCCTGCTCGGTCACCAACCAGGGCCACTGAGCAGCTTGGCTGTAGGACCAAAACTCCTATAATAGAAGTGGTAAGCCAGCCTTTCTTTGTGCCTGCTCTTTGTGCTTTGCAGTCATCCCTCGGTATCCACAGGGGACAAGTTCCAGGGTCTCCATGGACACCTAAATCCAAGGATGTTCAAGTAACATATTAGTTGTCTATAATCTGTATACCTTGTCCATATATTCAAAGTCATCTCTAGATTACTTTTAATACCTAATACTATGTAAATGGTCACCATACTGTATTATTTAGGGAATAACTACAAGGAAAAAGTCTACTTGTTCAGTATAGACACATTTTTCCCCCTAATATTTTCAGTCCACAGGTGGTTGGCTCCTCAGACACAGGGGCAACTGTGTCTGCTATAATCTTCAGGATGCCTTAAAAGGTCAGACGTCCATTTGCCCATATGGGGAAACTGAGATTCTTCATTACCAGCAAAAAGAAGTCCAGGCTCCTTTGTTTGGATCCTAATAAACTCATGACAGTCTCCCCTAGCCAACCACCGGTTGGCCTGGTTTCCGCCCATACCCTGTACTCCAGCCCTATGGCTGATTCTGGAGATAGACCACAGGCTTATTTTCCTGGAATTTGCCATGTTGTTCCCTGCATTCATGAGTGGCTTAGAGAATGTTTCAAATGCCTTTCTCCCTGCCCTCATTCCAAGCTCAAATGCTTCCAAAGCTCCTAGTTCCCCTCAGGCTGAGTTGCTGGCTCCCATCCGTTGGCTATATGATCAGTAAATGCTTAACCCCTTTCTCTGCAGCCAGCACAGAACTGGCCCACAGTAGCTGCTCAGTAGATGTTGGGAAGGGAAGGACTGGGTGATGGGGTTCACTGGTCCAGGGTCAGGAGGCTAAGTGGCGGGGTCAGGACTGGACGTTAGGACTGTCTTGGCCACAAAGCCCTGCGTAGCAGTATTAATGGGCTCAGGTTTGGGAACCAGAGCTGAATTTGAAGAAGACTCACTGTTGCCTCAAGCTGATGATCTCCAAGCCTCAGGTTCCTCGTGTGCAGTGCATCAGGTGACACAGATAACTAGTAAGAACGTTAATTCTGGCCAAGAACCAGACCTCCCTGTCTCTTGCAGCCTGGCTCCAGAGCCACTCAGGATGGACACAATCTCACAAAGGCCAGGCTCTCAGGTGCTGCTGGTTCTTCCCAGGCATCGTTTCTGGTGGAAATAAGCCCCTGCAGGACATCTCTTGTGAGTCAGTATGTCCATCAAAGTGTGGTGTCAGCAAGACCCACCACTTTGGGCAGGTGGGAAGACCAAGAGTAAATTGTTTTATATGTACCATTGGATTAGGAATTAGGATGCCAGTTTAGGGATTTGGCTTGATTTTTATTTTTTTCATACCAAAGTTTTGTAGTATTTCCACACGGTTGTACAATTATCACTACTACTTAATTCCAGAACATCTTTATTGCCCCAAAAGAAACCCTGTACCCGTTAGCACTCATTCCACAGACTTCCTTCTCCCAGCCACTGGCAACCACCAATGCACTTTCTGTCTTCTTGGATTAGCCCATTCTGGACTTTTCATATAAATGGAATCATCGTGCAGTTTGTGGCCTTTTCTGTCTGGCTTCTTTCACTTAGCAAATGTTTGCAAAGTTCCTCCTTGTTATAGTATATGTCAATGCCATTCCTTTTTATGGCCAAATAATATTCTGCAGGATGGATATGCCACATTCCATTTATCCATTTATCGGTAGATGGACCTTTCAGTTGTTCCATTGCCTAGCTCTTAAGGATAACATCTACTGTGAATGTTTATATGGAATTTCCTGTGTGAATGTGTGCAGTTCTCTTGGAGTTGGTAGTACACCTGTGGCAACTCTGTTTAACTTTGGGGAGAACTCTTGGCTTGATTCTTGCCTCACTGTTTAATTTTGTGTGAGTCATTCCCCGCCCTCCCCCTTGTCCCCCTTGTCTGAGTCCCTGATCTCACTTCTCCTCCCTGACCTTTGGGGAGCAACTTGCTTGGGAAATTGGGCATCAGGGTACATGACCTCTGCCCAGCCTGCCAAGGTGCATGTTCCAGGTCTGCTCATCTTGCCGGGCTGCATATCACTGCTGTTCTGTCTGCTTCCTTCACCCCACCCTGTTCCCTCTGTCTCTCTGAGGCTCCTTTCTCCATGGGAGCAGAGACCCTGGGCCTGTGTCTGGACACACCCAGGGTTCCCACGCTCTCAGCCTGGGCAGAGGGCAGCCCTCACTCCTGCCATCTGACTTTGCTGTGTAGCAGCCACATTTTTCAGCCATCATGGATCCATTTTCCACAGGCCCAGTGAAGAAAAATGTTCTGAGAGCAGCTAAAATCCCATATTCTGATGCTTGGAAGGGCAGGTAGGAGTTGGATCTCTTGTGAGTGCTGTCTGCTAGTGATCAGTCTAGCCGTCTATCCACCTACCAAAGGCAGAGGGCTCAGATGCAGGAATGCAGTACAGCCCTAATGCAGAGCAGTGGTAGGGCTGCAGACATCTCCCACCCCAGCCTAGGAAGGGACACTTTTAAGGTAGCTTGTCTGAACGTTAGAAAGTCCCCAGTCCTGAGTCCATAGTCATGCCCCAAGTGTGGAGGGCCTTTGGCATCTGTGTGGCCCAGTGACACCTCTGCAGTAACATGTGTTCTGTGGGTAGGGGTAGGCAGGTCTGAGGCTGCTGTGTCAGCAGAACATGGCCTGGAGGGCACTATCAGCCCCTTACACAGCCCAGCCGAGACACACTGTGCATAATACACCCTAGTGAGGCCTGCATCTCCTGGGGACCCAAGGCAAGGGCTCTTGGGAAAAGTACTCACCAGCCTCAGATTCCTCCAGAGTCCTCATTCACTGCCATCATGGTCTGTTCAGTCCGTTCCTTCATTACTTTTCTGAGTGCTTTCTTAGCCGTGGTCTTGGTGGCTTTCACAATGGCGAGAAGCCCAGTTGTCGTCAGGCCCTTTCTCATACGTCTTCCAGGGGCTCTCTCTGACTTCACCTCCACCACAGCAGCTCAGCTTGTACAAGAGAGCTCACCCCTCATCTTCCACTTGTTTTCCCAGGTTGTCCTGAAGGATCTGGAGGTGTTGGCAGAAATTGCTTCCTCCCCCGCAGGCCAGACAGATGACCCAGGCCAACCCGATGGCCCTGACCTCCAGATCAACCACTCAGAGCTTCAGGTGCCCACCTCCGGCAAAACCAGCCTGCTAAATACTCCCAGTAAGTACTTCCTTGGGGATTCCAGCCTCAGACACCCATGAAATGCTATTGCTGGGTCTCCTCCTGGACTAAAGGGCCTTTGGGCTGTCATTCTTGAGCCCCCAAGCTCTGCCGATGTGCGAGGTTTCCTACCTGTGTTCCATTTCCTCCAAAGGCAGACAGACCTCACCCTGTTGCTGCCTTCTGGCTCACATTCCAGCAACACCAAGAAACCCTCGCAACCCCTTTCTCTCATTTCCCTACACGTTTGATGCTTTTGAGCCACTGAGTAAGCACAAAACCATCTGAGGCAACTGAACATCTCTACCTGGGCAGGAGTCTCGCTGTGCAGGAGTCGGGCCCTTGATCTTGGATCTCACAGGCAGAAGACTAGGAAGGCATTTTCCCTTCACAGGGAAGCTCAGAACAGCTCTTGGCATGGCAGGCAGCCCAGGGAAGAGACAGGATAATCCCAACTGGCTGTTTCCTGGCCATCCTCAGAAGTGGAGGTGACCTGGGTATTCCAGTGCTCACCCTTCCTGTTCTTTCAGACAGCAGGTATCTCTTCTCTCTGTGCCACTCAGTACCCAGCTCCTCCCCACACACACAGAAGACACCTCCCTTCAGCCACACTATCTGGAAATGCCCCAGGGATACAAGATGAGAAGAAAGTACCTAGTGAATCTTGGGAGTCTGCCTTGGTGTGTCTTTGTTCTTGAGTCACTCTTGACATCCATACATCAGGTCCTGATATCCATACATCAGGCACCAACAGCTTCGGGAGCATGTCAGTGGCAGCTACCCTCCTGCAGACCACTGGTCCCAGACCCAGAGAATACCTGCCCCACCTAGTGCCAACTGGCCCAGCCCCGTTGGGTACAAAGACCAGGCCCAGTTCCAGAGAAGTTTAGGGTGTCACCAAAGCCCCACATGCCTCCGTGCACCCCAGACATGCCAGGTCAGATCATAGAAGGCCAAAGACCTCCTCCCTGTGACACAGAAAGCCATGGGTTCCCTGAGTGCTACAGCACAAGGCATGTAGGAGCCCAGGCTTCAAGCTGCCTGAAGCTAGAAGAGGAGTGAGGATCTCCAGCAGCAGCCCAGCTTCGCTCTCCCACTTCCCCCGGATGCTGTCATTTCCTTGCTCATGAGCCTGGTTTCCTCTGTAGTCAGCTGCCATGGTCAGGGAAACAGCTCCCTCATGCTGACCCCGGAACCCCTGTGGGGGCTCCCACTCCCTGTCCCTTGTCATAGGAATTGATGCTCAATCCTGTGTCCCAGGTCAGCCAGTGGGAGCCAACCTGGAGGCCCTGGGATAGATGGCAAAGATGCCAGAGGTCAAGTGTGAGAACACAGAGCAGGGAGTAGGGAGACACTGAGACGGGGAGGGGACCAGGAGGCTCTTGCCTAGAGAAAGGATCGCAGCAAGGGCAGGATGGTAGTTGCTGTATCAGCCCTCAGCCTTCCCTCTCCAGGAGACAGGTGCCCGCCATCTTCTCCCCTACTCAGTGTGGCAGCAGCAGAAACCTGTGTGAGGCAACAGAGCTTCAAACAAAGGCAGGACACCTGGATCTCCCAGGAGCCTCGGTGACCTGTTCCCTCATCTGTAAGGTGTGTTTTCTCTTTCTCCTGGTCACAGAGAGGTTGAGACATGGGTTTCTACCAGTGGAGAAATGGTCCAGGAACCGCTAAGGCCCCTGGGCTGGGGTTGAGTGTTGAGGGCAACAAAACTGACCCTGCAGCAATGTGGGAACAAGAGCTGAAGGGACTTTTGTAGCCAAGAGACCTGAACCCCATCTCCTGGCCCTGCCAAGATCAGAGAGAGGGCTTCTTAGAAGCCTGAGGTAGTGGACTCGCCCTGGGCCGCCAAGGCCGTCAGACTGGCTCACATCAGCCAGGCACACACTTGGAATTCATAGAAAAACAACTAAGTATGCCAGATGGGAAGAAGTTCCATTCTGGAAAGAACACCAGGGAAGTGCTGCAGCCAAGAATGCACAGCACTCGAGCCACCAGCCCTGACCCTGTGCCCCACGTGTGGGCTTCAAGGCTGTGAGAGCCTCCAGGCAGATACACACATGAGCCCACAGCTGGCATCAGAGATTACAAGCAGGTCCATGATTTTAAAAGGTCAGGGTCAAACCAGTAATAAAAGAATGTGGAAAGCTAGCATGCCCTTTCCCCTCTCTCACCTCAGCTGCCCTGGGAGGCGCACACCCGGCGCCAAGGATGTGTGGGGTGGTGTTTGGGTCAGAAAGCATGCCGGAAATGTACACTCATGCCTCTGCTGACTACTCTTACCAGAGTGCTTCTCCCACGTGCGCAGGGTCCTTCTGTCTGTTTCCATGTGGACATGCACGTGGACGGAGGCTGCAGGGCCATCCCCTCTTCCTGTCTAAATTCTGCTTTCCTCTGACTCTCCAGGACACCGCTCTGAGAACTTACAGAATGCAGGGCTGTGTCTCATAAGGGGAAATCACCCCACCTTCCACAAAGGGACTTTCTGGAAGGCAAAGGAGGCAGGAGCCTAGCAAAGATGAAGTCAGGGCACCTGCAAGGAACCAAATTGCCTGCCTGCACACTGGTCTGTAAACGCAAATGGCGCAGATCGCATGTAGTGGTAGGGAAACAGGACCCATTACATGCCTGGGCAGCTGCTGTGTTGGCCTAAATTCACTGTAGCAGTGGTCCCCAGCGCCCTGGAGGCAGAGTCACTCCCCTGGGATTTTCCTCTTGCCTGACCTAGCACTAGCATCTCTCCGTCCAGTGCAGAGGCCCGGGTCTGAGCTCTCCCACCCCACTTCCCTCATTCCTCACCAGCAAAAAGCTACCTCAAGAGTGATAGGGGGGTTGCCTGGGTGGCCAGCCCTAAGAAAAGATAGTGGAGGGACACCATGTTTGCCTGTCTCCCAACCCTTGGTTTTCTGTGGCTCAGGCTCCTTCTCTGTCCCATCTCCTTTTAGGGGGAGTTCACAGAGACCCTATAAGGCTCTGGGGAAGTGGAATAATGACCAGGCCTGCAGGCCCACCCTGGTCATGAGCCTGCACAGAAAGCTTAGCAGGACCAAAGAGGCATCTGGAATAAGTGTCGTCTTTGTCCTCCAGGGCCAGGACAGCCCTGCTGCCGGGGGGGGGGGGGGGGGGGGGGGGGGGGGGGGGGGGGTGCAGCTGGGCCTGGGAAGACCAAGACAGCCTCAGGATCTGTGAGCAAGGACAGCAGTAGTGTGGCAATCTGGGGCTGAAGGTCACCCCAGGACCGATGTTTGCCCTGAAACCCCAGTCTTCTCTGATTGTCCTGCCTGCCATGGTGCCATTCTTGGTCAGATAAAACCACACCATGGCAGTGTACTGGCCTAAGGCGTTTCCACCTCTAGTTTTAAAAATGGGCAAAAATTAAATGTTCTGCTTTCAGTTTCATTTCTTGTAGCCCAGGCCAGTGTTGCCAATTATCAGTAGCATCTTCTTGTTACCAGGCAGGAATAAGTTCTGGAAGAAATTCAGAAAGTCATCTTGGGGCATTTCCCCCCATAGCAGTAGTAACAGTAACAGCAGTGGTCCCCAGTGCTGGTGTGCTCTCACTGGGACCTCGCTGTGTTCCAAACACTTCACATGGGTGGCTCCTCTGGGTGAGCACCTGACTCGTCGCAACAGCACTCTTCTCATTCCCTCAGTTGAGGATTGTGACAGGAGCCTGACCTGAGAGTCAGGCCTCCTAACCCCACGCTCAGAGGAGAATCAGAAGCCCACCCTCGCCAGCTGTGGAGACCTCCACTGCCTGAGGGGAGGAGCACCTGGGCCAGTGGTCTGGGGCTAGGCTGGGTGCCAGCCCATGGTCCCAGTCTGGCAGTTAATTCCTTGGGGAGTCACTCCTCTCCTCACAGCCACTTCAGGGACCTCCCCCCATCCTGGTCTTAGACTGTGCAGCACCTCATTTCCTCTTCTGCTGTCCCCTCCACTTGCTGTGGCCACAGCACATCATCTCCCAGACTTGCCATTGCTCTTCGAGCCTCAGAGGCCCTCTGCCCATACAACCTTTCAGCCCCAGCAGGCAGGGTGTGGGTGCAGGGACCTAGCTGTGTTCCAGATCTCCCACCTGTGCCCTGTGAACTCAGGCAAGTGTCCTCCCCAACACTACCTCCCCAGCAGTGGGTTGCTTTAGGGCTCTGGGAACATCCACGTAGACAGGGCTAGACAAGCACTCTGCGCCGAGGCAGCTTTGGCTTCTGCCCTGTGTGTTACGAGATCTCCCGAGTGCTTGGGCCAGCTCCAGTGGTCCTCCCACAAAGGCTGTGTACCAACTCGCTCTTACTTGCCTGGGTGGGTGGTAGAGTTGGCACCTGTCTCCTCCTGGCTGTGACCTCTTACACCCCTGCTTCTCGGTTGCTCCCCAGTGGTCCGGACTCTTCAGAAATGCAAACAGTCCGGCCACCCCCGCTTCCCAGAGGCTTATTTTACCAGGCTCACCAGGTGATTTGGGTGCCCTACTCAAGTCACAGGTGCTCAGCACAGGTCAGCACCCTCTTTTTGGAGTTCATTAAAATGAGGGAAGGCAGACACCTCACCAGCTACGAGAGGAGGTTCCCCAGCACCACTGCCCAGGAAGGTGTCCCCTCATGCCCTGGCTGCCAAGCCTGTGACCCAGGCCCCTTCCTGTTGACTGGTCTGAGGCTTCCCTAGCTGCCCCCTCGCCCTCCATCCAGTGCTACCCTTGGCCCCAGCCCTCGATCTGTAGCAGTAGCAGCCATTTCCTGGTGGCAGACTGCTATATAGGCACTCCACTGCCCTTTAAGCTAGAAACCTCTCCCTGGCCCACTGTGTTTCCCATCTTACTCTGAGCCAAGCAGCTGCAAGACCTTGAACGTGAGTGAGGCCCCCCATGCTCCTGTCCTCACTGACCTCAGCAGAGCTAGCCCACAGAGAAGAAAGTGATCACCTTCTAGATCAAGTCCCTGGAGTCCTGTTGGTGCTGCGTCTTTTGACTGTGCAGACATAGGGTTTGTACCCTGTAATTCAGCAAATGC